CTAGTCATTGTCGTGTGGTATTACTGAAATAACACTAAAATTATATACTTGATTATATACTAACGAGATTTGTTATTCAGGGGACAATGAGTTGCACAATTATATGTTTTGACTATGGAGAATGATATACTAGTGAGAGTAATTGGTATTACTGGGATTACTGGTACTACTAAGAGTAAATGGTATTACTGGCACTAGTGAGAATAATTGTTATTACTAAAACAGTACTATAATTATATACATACGATATTTGTTCTTTTCTTATTGTTTTGTAGGGGGCAATGAATTGTACAATCATATGTTTTGATTGTCGTGGATGTTACTCAAGAGAAGGTGATTACACAAGATGAAACTTGGGAGGAGTTGAAATTCACACTTAAGCGATGCGGACCGGAGTGGAGGAGGTCACTTATTTGGCGTTGGTCGATAAAATTGACAAGATGATGATGATAGATGAAGGTACAACTATGTATAATAATTAGATTTGTTTTGTGTGTTCTCTCTGATTGGTATAACTACGTATAACTAAGTATGACTGTGTTGTTTGTTTTGTGTATTCTTTATGTCTACATTTTCTTTACTTATTAGTTAATTTATGTACCTTTTACTTATCGGTATATTTGTGTCGACTTGATACTTAGGTACCACTGGATTTATATGATTATAAATTCAAAAAATAGAAAAACATATTTTTTTACTAAAACTATTCCTTGTACATATGTTAATGTATGAGTAGAAACACTCATTGTTATGTCAAACAAACAAACATGGGGTTTTCAAAAATATTAATATACGAAACTGTAGTAAATATGTTTAAATGGATAAATTGCATCAATACTACCAGAAAAATTATCATTTTATGCTTGTATAACTAATAATACGTGAAAACTATCAATATATAACTATGTGTAAAACGGTACTACTAGAAAACTAAATATAACTATGAGTAAAATTTTAATATTTTTTTAATTCTTGACAGCGCATGTGCTAAATATGAGAATTTTTAATTATTATTTGTTTACACATGTGTTTTATGCTTATATCACAATAGTACCTAGTAACACCAGTAGTACCAAAATACAATATAATAGTGATACCAGTAGTACTAAACTACAATTTAGCCCATAGTATCACCAATAAGACCATCATTACCTTCAACATTACCAAAAATTCTCAGGTACATACTA